CAAAGACAAAAATCACATGATCATCTCAATAGATGGAGAAAAGTGTTTGAGAAAGTCCAACACTCATTCATGATAAAAACCCTACAGACTCTCTTTCTTTCTTTTTTTTTTTCTTTTTCTTCCGGTACCAGAAATCGAACTCACAACATTGCACTTGCCAGGCAGGTGCTGCCTACAGACTCAGAATAGATGGTCTTTACCTCAATCTGATCAAAGCCATCTATGACAAACCAACTGCCAACATCATACTAAATGGACAAAAATTGAAAGCTTTCACTTTAAAATCAGGAACAAGACAAGGATGTCCACTGTCACCACTCCTATTCAACATAGTTCTGGAGACACTAGCCAGACCAATTAGGAGAGAGAAATAAAATGAATAAGGATAGGAAAGGAAGAAGTGAAATAATCATTATTCACAGATGACATGATACTCTACATATAACATCCCCAAAACTCCACAGAAAGACTTGCAGATTTTATAACCAGATTCAGTAGCCTAGTTGGATACAAAGTCAACACTCAAAAATCATTAGCATTCCTGTACAGAAACAACAAATATACTGTGAGAGAAATTAGGAAAACCACAACTTTCACAATAGCATCCAAAAAGTGAAATACTTAGGAATCAATCTAACAAATGAAGTAAAAGATCCATAGAGTGAAAATTACAGTACTCTGAAAAAGGAAATTGAAGAGAATTTCAGAAAACGGAAAGATATTCCTTGCTCATGGATAGGAAGAACCAACATTGTGAAAATGGCCATACTCCCAAAACTGTTATACAGATTCATTGTAATCCCAATCAAAACACCATTAGTATAACTCACAGACCTAGGGAATATATTCCCAAAATTCATCTGGAATCAGAAAAGACACAGAATAGCAAAAAGCAATCCTGGACAACAAAGACAAGCAGGAGACATCACAATCCCTGATTTGAAATTATACTACAAAGTTACTGTGAGAAAATCAGCATGGTACTGGCAAAAAAAACAGACTTGAGGATCAATGGAACAGATTAGAAGATGCAGATATAACTACAAACACACTCAGGCACCTTATCTTTGACAAAGGGGCCAAATATGGTCACTGGAAGAAAGACACCGGAAGAAAGTGGAGTATTACTCAGATATGAAGAAAGATAAACTTGAGGGTTTTATAGGTAAATGGATGCAACTAGAGAACATACTCATAAGTGAAATAAATCAGACCCACATGTGTAATCATCATATTGTCTCCCTAGTGTAAGAAACTGAAAGTAAATAAAACCTGAAAGGTACAGTAGGCACTGTAAAAGGGAAAGAAACTGCTAGCAAAAGGCACAATGAAAGAGGGGAAAAAATTATACATATATGCACACACAAGGTAGCTAAGATAATTGTACTACTAATTTCTAATTGGTTTTATTGCAAGGAACTGTTAATGCTTAATTTTTTTGACCAGTTTTACATGTTTATATCTGGTAATCTGAACAACTACTTTGAAGATAACAGTATGCAATATAACAACCATTGTTGATTTCCTATCATCTTATTTTAAATTCGGTATAGTTTTTAATGTTTTTGTCTTATTTTTTATTCTCTTTAAAATAAAAAAAGAAAAATCAAACCAGAAAACTTTTTTTTTTTTTGTACTGTGATCAAACTCAGGACCTTGCGCTTGCCAGGCAAGCACTTATGCCACTGAGCTATATCCCTGGCCCCACTACCAGGGATCTTAAAGGAGTCTTTAAGTCTATAATAAGTACCTTTCAACAGAAAAGATAAGATAAGCCCCATGCTAGTGGGCTTATCTTCCTGGGTTTCTGGAATCTAACTATGTTGATCCCAAAGCTGAAAACGTTTAAGGGCGATCATAAAGTCATTTATGCTTAAGGCTGCACAGACTAACCAAAATCCATTTTTTTTTTCTCCTGGGAAAATATCCTCTTATAAGAAGCCCTTTTTTTTTTAACCTAGTAAACATATATTTTTTATTTTAAAGAGAGTAGTAAAAAAAAATAGCAAAATAGCAACCTCACAGACAAAAACAAAACAAAGCAAAAACATTAAAATGATACAGTGTTTCAAAACAAAATCCTAGTAACCATATTTTGTAAGGATATGAAATGTTCAAAACAAGAGATCCAAGAATTAAAAAAATGTGGTATATTTGACCTTGAAAAGTGTGAGGGAACCCTGCTGGTCTCTCAGGTACCCTGGAACGAAACAGCAGTGCGTATGAGGAAAATAAGGACAGGAGACAAGAGCTCGGTCAGGTGGAGTTACCTCTTACCTGATGGGCGAGAGGATTGCCTTTAATAGTCTGGGTGTTCGTTTCATACTGTAGCAAAGTTAGTATCAGGAGAGGTGTGTTGCCTAGCGACTAACGACTGTAACTGTCCAGGCGGGATGCCTTCTTCAATACTGAGGCAGCTTGACTGCCTGCGGCACTCTGGCTCCTTCCTGCCCTCACACACAGGACCAACCTCCAGCTCCAGCGGCTCCCTACCGAAAAGGTTGGGAATTACTAGTTCTGATTTGCCCCTTATTTGATGGAAGTGAAATTAAATGTGTGAGAGCTATTCTGAGGTGGAGTCCTGCCTGTACCTCAAGCCTCCTGTGTCCATCAGTTGTCCTGCTGCCTATGGCGACCCTCCCTTCGTGGAAGGACCATCGCGTGAAGGACAGGTTAAACCTCCTAAATGCTTGGACAAGGCAAGGAGCAGGAAGCAGTGGTGGAAGTTCTAGGCAGGAAAATGTTCTGTGTAACAAAAAGGTTTTAACGCAGCTCGCGCTGCGCTGACCACGGAAGGGGCTCCCTTGGCAGTGTCTGGGAAAACTGAAAACTTACACGCTAAAAGAGAAATAAATCCAAAAGAAAAATGATTATTGGGTGTCCTGTGCTTGTATCCCATGGTGGCCTGGTCTACTGCACCTTAATGGTCTGTGCCTTGTGGATATTTTCCAACTCTAAGTTATAGAAAATTGATAGTAATGCAAACGATTCTTGTCCACAGAGTTGCAAACGGATTCTGTCTGGCGTAAGTGCAGCTCACGTTCCTGCCGCCCCAAAGCCAGTTCTGTTTGATTATCTGCTTTGAGACAGGTCTGGCTGTGCAGCCCGGGCTGGCGTCGCACTTGCGGCGGTCCTCCGGCCTCAGCCTCCTCGGCACTGGGATTACAGGCGTGCGCCACCGCGCGCGGCTTCCAAAGCCAGTTTTGCATCGAGGACCAGACTCACGTCCCCGTTTCGGCTGCCTGTTTGGGCGTCTGCCCTCGATTCTTCTCCGGACAGGCTTAATTCCTGACCGATGTGGTTCGCGTTACGCCCGCACGACGGCCGCGGCTTTACCGCGTGGAGAGGAGCTCGGTTGTAACAGGACCGCTGGTGTGAGGCCGCTTCTTGGTTCCCGGTGGGGGAGGCCTCCTCACGCCCGGTCCCTCGCACCCGCACGCAGCGGCTCGCCCCCGGCCGCCTCTGACCCGGTCCCGGCGCGGGGAGCGTCTGCCCGGGCTCCGGGAGGCGGCGCGCTTCTGGTCCGCTCGCGCTTCCACCTCCG